CCTATCAAATTGCAACGATACGCTATGCATCATCATTGAACACAGCAAAGAATGGCAGTCAACTATCTACCTCAAATTCATCAACTTTGGAAAGGCCTTCGACAGCGTCGACTGACAAGTAATTTGACAGCTGCTTCAACATTACGGAGCTCCCCAAATCGTTATCAACCTCATTCAACAGCTGTATGCCATATGATGTTACATGCCAAGAAACTCACAATGTGAAGCTGAGTGATGCCTTTGAAGTGAAGACAGGTGTAAGACAAGGCTGACACCTACTATCACCCATCATCTCCCTGATTGTGGTCGAATGGACTGCATTATGAGACAAATTGCGGAGGGCGATGAGATGGGCATACACTGGCAGGACCGATGGAAAGACCCCAGTAGAAGATTCCGATTTCACCGCCAACAATATTGATGATTTATGTCTAATGTCTCGTCACACAAGCTCGAAGATCTACAGGCAAAACCAACAAGTTGACAGAAGAGGCAAGGCAGCGAAGACGCGACTTCCATCAGATGAACCTAGAGAAGACAGAGGTGGAGGTGATGAAGATACACAACCAACAACACCATCAACAACAAGCATCAATCACCATGAACAGGAGAAACCTGGAGCGAGTAGTCTCTCTCTCTCTCTCACCTACCCACATACCTATGCAGCATCGTTTCAACTACATGCGGGACAGGCACAGATGAGGATGTCAAAGCCACGATCGGGAAGACAACGAGACAGGACTCCCCTCATTAATCTGAAACCAGTGTGGAGATCTGCTACACTGCACTGCACTACACTGCATTGCACTCAGCATAAAGCGTGAACAATATCTGGATTTTCAACACTGATGTCAGTCAAGTAAGTCAGTGCTTCTATGTGGTTGTTGAGAAACTTGGCGTATCACGAAAAGCATTTTCAACAATCTGCAGACATTAATATTGATGTAAATCTTGGGGACTGTGGTAGAATTTAATTCGATACTCGATTTGTTTATTTGATTTATAACACGCAGTGATGTAGTATTATTTATTTGATGACGTTTCGAGGATAAATTATAATTGCTCATAATCATATCAATGTGTAATCACACTACTTTCGACATTTGATTTTATATATATGTCACTTTATATGAGTTGTTTTTATTTGTAGCAAAATTTTTCATACCTCTGATATAGGTGTTGCGTCATTTCTATTACATGTGTTGCTTGTTGATTCGATGAACAAAGATTCAGTAATCAACCTCTCTCTTCACCTAATTATATTGGACTTAAGAAAAATGGCTTTATCCCACCGTATTGTGTGCTTTTGTAGTAATGCGTGCATAGCGATAGCCGAGTCATCTTCTAGATTACTGATCTTATTTAGGTCTGTTATTCTATATTCAGATAAATTCCTATGTTCGGCTATTCTAACTGACCCCGACAGACTAGTTCGACCTATATACTTGACCTCACAGTCATTACGTGGAATTTGATAGACTACATTATTTTGCCTAATTGGTTCTGTCGGATCCTTAAGCCAACAAAGTTTATCTCTGAGCGAGTTTGCAGGTTTAAATGCCACCCTAATTCCAGCTCTGTTGAGAATTCTACGTAAAGTTTCTGAGGTACCCTCCTCATAAGGTAATACAAGGCAGGCCGTGGACTCTTTTTTACGCGTGTCTTCGTTATTAGTTGCACTCGTGTGACTGTTATTTTTTTGTTTTTTGTGTCCGTAAGAATTTCTTCATAAACTGCGGAGGATAATTATCAACTATTAGCGCTTCTCTTACGTGTTTCAATTCCTTGTTTAGGTTCTTGCTCTGAATAGTCACTTTTCGAACTCTATCATTTAGACATTTGACTAATCCTGCTTTAACTGACATTGGATAGGATGATTTGAAGTCTAGATACCTGTTCAAATGTGTCCGTTTTCTGCAGACAGTAGTATCCAAGCCACCGTCTGTTCTTAGTTTTATTCTGCAATTCAATGTAGGTTATTCTCCTTGTTCATTTTCTACCTCGTAAGTGAATTGGATTGCGTTTGCTACTGAGTTTATATGCATGAGGAAATTGACTACATGTTTCGATTTCAACACAGTAAATGTGTCATCCACATATCGCCACCATATATTTGGTGTAGGACTAAACGCTTGTAAAGCCACTTTTCCCAACTATCCATAAATATATCTGCTACGATTTGGGATATTGGCAGTCCCATCGCTACTCCTTCTGTTTGTCTGTATATTTTGTCCTAAAACTTGAAGAATGTGGAGGTCAGGCACAACTGTATGCCTAATATAATCTCATCAACCAATATCTTAGCTCTGTGCGTAAGTTCTGAGTCAATATTTAGTTGACTTCTGACTGCCTTCAGTGTCATATTGATTGGTATTTTAGTATACAGACTAGTTACATCGAAGCTTACCATTTTTTTTCATCCTCTTCTAAGTGTAGGTCATTAAGCTTAAGTTTAACATCGTAAGAGTTTACTAGTCTGGAATTTGAACTGTTCTTAATAGGGCATATTATCGAAGCTAAGTACTTTGCTAGTTCGATAGAATTCGGTCTGCACTCAGAACTAGACAACATGAAATTGGTTGCACTCCCGTGACTAATCAATACATTAAGCCAGTCCTACAGGAGGTCAGACGCGGCCCGAATAGCTCAGTGGTAAAGTCGCTGACTACAACACTGGGTGACGTGGGTTCGAATCTCAGGCGGGACATCAGTTCATTTGAGGTTTCAGATACGCCTTGCTGACGAGTGCCAAAAAGCACGAAACCTAGGTCGAGCAGGGCTTCCTGTCGATGGCCTTCAACCAACTAACTTTGCTAGTTCATTCATCAACAGCTGCCGCCTACACTCACTCGATACTGAAGATCAGATGGGTGACCAGAATAATGAGAATAAGCAACAAGGAACTCCGGGAACGAACCAAAGAAACAGGAACCTATCACTCGATAAATATGCAGGAGAAAGTGAAGATGGATTTGGCATACACTGAGAAGACGATTCGGGGACATCACGCACCAGGTCAGGCCAGTTCGTCGAGTAGAATATAAATGGGAAACGAAGAGTTGGGCGTCCCAGCTGAGGTTGACATGGAGGAGATTGTGTGAGGAGGAAATGAAATCTTGTGGGCAGTCGTGGTGCCAGGCACAAAAGACTGGAGAGAAGAAAGTGAAATGGAGACGCGCTACTGAAGCCCTATGTTTCACTACGAACCCAATGGGCAAATAATGTGAATAATGAAGATGTAATATCTGAATTTCCACCTTCAACAGAGGATATTAGAATATCGTTGAAGCTTTGCTTGTAATCTACATATTTCACGTTTATAGACAGAATGTAGTGTCGGTCAAATGGAGTTGTAATTTGTTCACTAACATCTCCAATTTTTGATAATCTCCATACGAAACCTCTTGAAGAAACAGCTTTTAGTGCCCACTGCCAACCAAGGATTTGGTATAGATATGTGGATAACACATTTGTCATTCTTAAGATAGTAAACCAACAAAAATTTTTAGAATATATAAATCCTATTTCAGATTCCATTAAATTCACTAGTTCGGGACTCTAAACCTCTTAAATTGTCTTATTTTAACAACGACTGAAGTTAAATTTAGTTTGAAAATATGCAGAAAACCAACACATTAACTTCTGAGGCCCTGCATATTTTAACAACATAGAATGCCTTAAACAGAAAAGAAGGATTTGACTTGTCACTTATTTGGCGAACATTAATCCGACTAAATCATTAATGATGACCTTTTCGAACTGAAGCTACAATCACAATGACATTTACTGACATCCTGCCATTAAAAGTACAATAAACAACACATAGTCTACAACAAAGATAAACACACACACTGCTGAGGAGTCCCATACTAGGACGAAACAGCTGTCCAGTGCTCCCAGGTTTCCTTTGTTCCTCCAACTGATGTCAGTCTTCGATGAATAACAACTTGAAATAAACACACACACTTTAACTATCCTATATATTTGTTGACAAATAACAATAACAAGTATGAACTTAATTGGATTGAAAAAATCACCCAGCGAATGACCTACGTTTACTAAATATATTTGATGTATCATTTGACTATATATTTTGTTGTAAATATAAATCCGTATATTCTGCTGAAGAAACTGTGGCTTACATAGCGAATTGTTTCGATTTTCTAAACATGCTGGGATAATTACTATTTATTGACATACTTGTTATTCTCCGTTATTTTGTTGGATCGAATTGTTCCACCTCTATTAGCATATGGGTTCCTATGCGGATGCCTCTATATTGCCTGAATGTTAATTGTGATAATTTGGTTGGTTGTGGCTATCAGAAGAATCCAGGAATCGTGTTTCGTCCTATTTCGGACTCGTCAGCTGGATATGCCTGCACCCCAGTGATGTTGTTCCCATTGAGACTGGAACAAAATTATCATGATTAACATTCAGGCAATATAGAGGCATAGAAGCCCATATACCAATAGAGGTTGAACAATTCGATCCAACAAAATAACGGAGAATAACAAGCATGTCAATAAATAAGTAAATATTGTTATCACATACACATCAAGATATGTTCCGTAACAACTTTAATTACTTCAAAGAAATATTTAAATACAAAATGGCCGGAGCATCCATAGGAATTAAAACTAAGGAAACTACAAATTGCTGAGAAAAGATCAACCCAAGAAGTATTCCACTGACTGGTTTCCTGATCTGAATTTAAGAAAACAGGTTCAGTGCACACCTTAAAACCCTGAAACAAAACATCAAAAAGTTGAAATTTTACTGCTTAATGATTATTTTATTTTAGGCATTCTACTTTTCATACATACAAATAATCTTTTACAGCTTCTTTTCATCTTGAGCAGAAGGCTCAAAAGCTGTCTGTATTTTGTAAAATACTTCTAGTACTGAAAATGATGATCAATATTTTACTTGAGTTCAAGACACTACTAAAAAGTAGTTCTGAAAGTTATATAATTCCTCCTGGTGGGTGTTACACCTCTTCAGTTAGATGGCAGTAGTGAAGCGTCAAGTTGAGTCTATAAAAAGAAAAGAAATTTGTCATTAGTTTTAGAAGTCAAATTTATCAGTACATCTGTATTTTAGCTAACTATGACTTCTTTGAATATTTTAGATGCATCTATTTAAATATAACTTTCATTACAAATCAACATCAAAAGAATAATCCTTGAAAACTAAGATATATGTTCCAGAATTCCTTTGGATTAAGTAACCTACAACATTAGGCAAAATCATATCAAGGGCATTCACTTATTGTGATGCTCAGTCAGCCACTCACTGTGCTCGAATGTAATACTTCATATTTCGCAAGAAAATACTTCATGAAAAGATGTGACCATTGTTTAGTATCACTTCAAGTAAAATAAGAATAAGAGTGTGGCTGCTTGGTTTAGACTCGATGAAGGACTAGTAAAACGCTTAGCATGTGACCTTATCATTTTAAAGCTGACCCCGAATGGAAATGAAGGTGTTCAATGTTGCCTATTTCAAATGGAAATAAAATAGTTAACCAGTATTATTTTAACTTGACAGTTACTCTGGTTGACTGCAAACTCAAGTGACAACATACCTCAAATTAATATGCTCTACATTATTTACTCAAAGGAATTATATATATATGTATATATATATATATATATATATATATATATATATATATATATATATATATATACATAGAGAGAGAGAGAGAGCGTGAGTGAGTGAATTTTGATTATTAGCACATTTATATTGCTTCAGATGATAAGAAATTTACTTCATTCGTGTAAAAACTGATCAGCCTCAGATTTCTGTCATCAGGTAATGGATAACAAAATGCATTTCATGGAACAATAGAGACTAGCTAATGAAATCATGTAAATCAGCTATAAGAAATCAAAAGACTAATGGATTATCACTTGTTATTTTGTTGAATTAACGTTTTCTTCTATGTCTTACCTTAAGTTGTTCTCCATAGTGTTTATAGAATTTTATCTCTTCATTTCTAATGTGGTCTCGTTTAGCTTTAGCTTCTTGATTCTTTTTTTCCAATGCATCAGCTTTTTGTTTTAATTCAGCAACCTGAAATTCTAGTAATTTCTTTGATTTTTCTAATTCCTTAATCTAAAGTTTTGAAAAGAATGAAAAAAGTGTACATTTCATATAAAATTTTAGCAAACTTAAAAGAATTGACTCCCAAAGACTACTTAACATCTGATATATCAACTCTTTTTAATATAGTTTAAAACCGTCGAACTAAATAGAAGGACCAATAAGAATAGAAGTCTTAAAAACAGATTTGAAAAAGTAAAGATAGGGAAAGTCTATGACTTTTATTAGACAAATATCGAACTATCTGAGTTAAATGAACAGTGAATACGTCTACAAAACTTTTGTTCCTCATAGTTATTGTCATTTACTGCTAAAACACCAACATATATGAGTGTACACTTTTGGGAAAGATGAATCTAGTGCTTTGTATCACTCAAGTGAACACTAAATGACTTTATGAACTAAGAAAACGCTTCATATTGATCAAACTGAGACTTTTCACACCTACTTTCTATGCTAACAAAATACCTCACACTAAAGAAGATGGATACTGAAAAATGTGAAAACTATATCAATCATATTCATGAACCATTTAACAACTTCCACTAGCAACTTCTGTAAAGTCACTAAAGGAATAGATTTCGTCTAGTTTAAAGACATCAGCTTGCATTTGATAAATGAAAATGTAATACAAATCTTCGCTAGTTGCTTGGATGCTTTTGTCTACCAGTAAAGATCCAGTACACAGGGTATTGATGCCAATAGGTTAACTACTAAAGGAAATTAATGACTGACTTCATTTTAGCACAAATCTATGTTAGAAGTTTTTTTAAACGCATAGACAACCTCTTGTTACTCAAAAACTAACTTCGTAAAAATTTGATAGTAAGAAGGTTCAAAGTACAAGTAGAAAAATGGCTGTGACGTAATAAATATTTGCTTGCTTTACATCCCTGTGAATGTGAATATTTCACTTGATCGTAGGAAACTCATTGACACAAATGAAATTTAAACTTGGAAAAACTATTTCTCATATATGAATCCCTTATGTATCATAAACAATCCATGAGTTTCTCCGTTAACTAGCTATTCAGGCTAGGACATATTATGATTGGATGCGGAAGTATATTTTTATGTTGCTGTTACTATAAAAAGGTTAGTTAATAGTTTCTTTAAATATTCAGCTTAAGAAACAAAACAAAAGGTTTAGTTGAATAATTAGATAGCTGTGGATAGCCGACTGATTACATCATTACATGTATGTAGTATTATAAGGGACATTGAAGGAAGCCCCTAATTTCACTAGGATTCCGACCAGCTGCGTCTAAAGACCACCATATTAGATGTTTAAATATTCATAGTCGATCTACTTATTAATGAGCTACGAACATGTTTCAAAATAAATAAATAAATGAGAGATTTCGAATTAATTCAGCACAACACCTTTAAGCATCTACAAAGATTAAGTTGGTCTGGAATAAGTATGAAGTATATGAAAAACAACCGATATTATAGGAACAAAGATGAATAAATATTTCTGACCTGCTTCTCATGTTCTCCTAAGATATACTGCCAAGCCACTCTCTTTCGTCCTATAAATCCTTCAGTAAACTTCAGAAGTGTTTCATATCCACAGAACTCTGTATTATAGTGATCTAATACACGCTTAAATAAAAGTCCTTGTTCTGGGCAATCTACAATGAGCTGTAGCATACCAAAAAAAACATAAAAACAACAAAAATAGTAGTAAGAATAATGACGGCATTTGTTGTTTAATCCAGTGAAAACTACTCAACGTAAGACCTATGTCCTCCCCATTTTTTGTCATTCTAAAACTTAGAAACAGTAAATCTTTTTGGTACAACTAGAAGTACAACCCTATTGTTCTCAAATTTCAAATTTACTTGTCTATTCATTGATTGTTAAAGTCCACAGTTATCATTAACACTGTTGTCTAAATAAGATTAAACGATAATGAGTTACAGCCATCATAAATACAACAAGCATCACGCTAACGTTATCTTTATTGAAATTTGTTTCTTGTTTACTGTGTGTCTCACGATTACCTTAATGCAAAATGTAGATATGTACTGTTACGATTGACAGTGGTAAGTATTACAATCATCAGAAATAAGTTTCAATATCAATCTATACATGTTCTACTAATAGCTGGGTGAGATGCAGTTCTTATGCTTCAGAGGTAGCTAATCAACCAAATATGCACGTGAGCTACTAAACTCCTAACAGATTCGGCACTGGATGAGTGCCCCACTTAAAAGCCAATGCTGGAATGATTTGAACACAATACGGCTAGTCTAAAAATTGTAAAATAGTTGACACTAAATTTCAAATAACCTATAACTGTCTCATCCTAAATCTAATTCTCTAAAAGTTCATTGTTTATTAGCCAAGCATATATCTATAGAGCAAAGACAAAAGACGCTTCCACAACACACTGGCAAGTGAAGCAGAACAGGCTGCAGGTAGGAGAGACCTGACAACATTACATCGAATGACCAGGTTACTATCTGGGAGGAGAGAGAGCAACACATACGAAACCAATGCAAGACGATGAAGGAACTTTAACTACCGAAGAAGAGAAAGAAAGGAAACGATGAGCTGACCACTTCAAAATGCTCTTGAATCGATCACCCCCCACCACCTGCAACTCATCCAGAAATAGCACATGCAGCTGCAGAACTTCAAGTGAACATAAATCCCCCAACAAAAGTCCATGTCCTGAATGCCATAAAAATGTTGAAGTGTGGGAAAGCAGCAGGACCAGATGGAATCCCGTCAGAAGCACTGAGAACAGACGCAGAGACAACAGCAGACATGCTCACACCACCATTGCAGAAGGTTTGCAAGGAAAAGAAAGTAACTGCCAGTTGATTGGAAGAAGGGTTACGTTGTAGAACTCCCGAAGAAGGGTGACCCAAGCTGTCTTTGCAAGAAGTGCCCGGAGTCACTCTCCTGTCCACCCAAAGCTAGCAAAATATTAAGCCGCATCATCCTGGAGAGGCTAAAGCATGCGCTGGATTCAAAACTACAACCGGAACAGATTGGCTGGACTCAGGAAGTACAAATCATGTGCCAACCAAATTGCAACGCTTCGTATCATCATAGAACAGAGCATAGAATAGCAATCAGCTCTCTATCTCAACTTTATCAACTTTGAGAAGGCCTTTGACAGCGTCGACCGAGAGGTAATTTGGAAACTGCTTCAATACTACGGACTACCGCAAACCTTTATCCACCTCATTCAACAACTATATGAAGATGCCACATGCCAAGTAATTCACAATGGGAAGCTCAGTGATGCTTTTGAAGTGAAGACAGGAGTGAAACAAGGCTGCCTACCATCACCCATGATATTCCTGATTGTGGTCGACTGGATCATGCAGCAAACAGTGGGGAGCGAGAAGAGGAGGATACGCTGGCAAGACAGTGGAAAAGAACCTAGAAGACTTGGGTTTCATCGATAACTTGTGCCTGATGTCACAATAACTTGAAGACCTACGGGCGAAAACTAACAAGGGACTAATAATAATAATAATAATAATAATAATAATAATAATAATAATAATAATAATTGGTAAACGGTGTGTACTCATATATTTATCCGAAATTTGTAGAACAAATCAACCGATAAAATTATCTTTATTTCTTTTGGCAGATTGTTTCATAACTCGGAGACTCCGGATAAGAAGCCTGTTCTGATTCATATGTTATTTCTCTTGAGGTGTTGATGGGCATATTCTTTGCGCTTTTCAAATAGAAACTGAAGTCATTTTCACCTATCCAACAATCCAGGTGATGCAACTTAATGCACACTTCTTCATATTTATCCATTTTCCTTATTACTTTTCACATTTTGACGCTGACGATTTAAATGTTGGGTAAACAGACCCCCCCCCCCAGCTGCCTAGTTTTTAAATAAGGAAAACTGAAGTGGAAGAAGAATCTATCCCTGAGATAAGTAGTTCACGGTTTTAGTCCGATAAAAAACTAAAGGTGACCAATGTCACTCAGTATTACAAGCACCAGAATCTTAGTAGTAATCTAAGCGTGAAGATATAACGACCATTTCCGAAATATCCAATCAAGGCTGATAACCTTTATGTGGGGTCCAAAAATACTTTGAGTTTAACCACTTACTTTTGAGCAGTCGACGATATCGTCGACTGAAAATATATTTTTTAAGTTATGTAACAAGATAATGGTCCAGAAATTCGAATTCCATGGCGATTGCCGTGTCAGCTTGAAAAAGCACCCTAATACACAAAGAAGATTGCTAAACATGTTATCCTCGTTTATCTCAGTATTCAAGCAGAAAACGTAATTTTTCGTTAACGTATGTGGACATATGCTAATATCTGCATAGTAATACGGATATATAGGCTCTTACTTGACGCAGTGTCTCGTTTGCTACATCATTCAGAACATCATGTCTGACAACACAAAGGGGCTTCTTGCGACCACAACGGCTTTTAAGTGTTCGCTCCATCTCCACCTCCATATTTCTAACTTCAAGTGCAGTAGAAAACTTTTTTGACACGTATTTGACCCACTTTGCACCCATATCATTGTAAAATATTGGAGGAAATGCTTTATTCAGTGCTTCTCTAACAGTGTTACTTTTCGAAATCTGATAGTATTTCACTTCAGAGCCACAATGTTTCGAACTTATAACCTCCGAGTTCAAGCACGCCGTCACTAAATTCTCATTCTTTCAATCAAATGCAGTATAGGATGCCAGATTACCTTCATTTTGTCGCATTCTTCTGAATCAATACGTAAAGGGAGTTCATACTTCAAAATCGTCTGCATTTTTCGAGGAAACAAAACGTTGCGCTTTTTGTCCAATCCAATATCCAATATTGATAGTGCGAGCGTAGAAAACTGGTAGTTTTTGATCTCTCGCGTCTAGTTCTTAGGGCTTGGTTCCAGTTGTTCGGTTTACTCCTGCAGTGGACGAGGAAATCCCCTCTGCTTTCTTGCTTTTAGCTTCGGTGAGGTGGATGTTTTGTGGGTTAGTAGGTTGTAATTTGTAGAGTGATTAGGGAGCTACGGGCTGCTGGGAAGTTTAGAGAACAACCGTGACTCCTGTCTGTGTAGGTACCTGAAAGAGAATAGTAAGGTAGTGGTAAAGGAATGAAGAGAGAAATAAGGAAGAGAAAAAAAATAATAATAATAGTAATAATAATGTAGGGAAGAGAAAAGGGAAGGAGAAAAGAAGGGGTGAAGAGAGAAATGAGAACGAAAGAAAAGTATTTGGGAATTGCCCGAATGGTCGCGTGGGTTTGGTTCCTACAGAAGAATTAGTAGGTAATGTGGGTGTATTAAGGAGAGAGATAGTGAGTGGTAGTTAGGAGGGAGTTGGGGGTACTGAGGTTGGTGACTACCTGAGTACGTCCGTGGTAGTCCATGCGAGGTGACATAACTGTCTAATCGCCTCTTGAAAGAGTCGATTGAAGGAGCTATAACGATGTGTCGCGGTAAGGCATTCCATAAAGCACATACTCTTAGGGAGAAAAATTTGGACCTGAGTGTGGTGTTGGCTCTCTGGTGTGCTATCTTAATGGGGTTTCCTCGTGAAGATCGTTCAGTTGCAGGCAAAATTGATTTGTTTGCATGGTCTGCCTGATGGGCGATCTTGTATGCCATAATGAGGTCACCCCTTTTCCTGCGATAACCCAAGGTAAATAGGTTGAGGTGTTTAAGTCTTTCAGGATACGTCTTTCCCCTTAGCCCCACAACACATTTTGTTGCAGTTCTTTGTATTCTTTCAAGGAGATTAGAGTCTCTCTTGAGTGTTGGAGGAGCCACCGTATTGAAGACCTCTAGGTGCGGCCGCACGTAGGATTTGAAAATGGTGAGGAAGAGTTCGGGAGTGAGGGCGCCAAGCTGTCTACGCAGAAAGTGTAGAATGGCGTTCGCTCTGGTTGTCATACCTTTGTAGTTGGAGCTGGTGTCCAAGGTGTCGGAGAAGTTGAGCCCCAAATCTTTCTCCATGGACACTCTGGTGATAGCACGGTTGCTCAACATGTACTGGAAGTCGGTCGTACTTGCCTCATTTTTACTGATGTGCATTACTTTGCACTTTTCCAGTTGAAGCTCAGGCCATTTTCCGACGACCAGAGCTCGAGTTGCTGCAAGTCCTTTTGTAGTGCTGCACAGTCGGCTTCTTCGTTTACCACCCTCCAAATTTTTATGTCGTCAGCGAAGAGGAGGATGGGTGAGGATATTTTGTCTGGCAGATCGTTGACAAACAGGAGGAACAGAAGCGGTCCTAGGATTGCTCCTTGGGATACTCCTGACGTCGAGGGTCTCCACTCCGACCTTATTCTGTTCACTTTAGTGCAGAACTGCCTCCCTTCCAGGTACTCCTTGAACCAAGAGAGTAGGGGTCCACTTATACCAGCTGACATGATCTTGTGAAGCAGTACTGTGGGTGGGACACTGTCAAATGCTTTGGCTAGGTCGAGAAATACAACATGTACAGGTTTTCTATTATCCCAGCTTTGTGTCCAGTCGTCCCAGGGGTTAGTAAGTTGGTGGCACATGAGCGACCACTACGAAAGCCGTGCTGAGCAGTGTGGACAGTGTTTTCTCTATTGAGGAATTCCCAGATGGTGTCAGCTACCAGGCTTTCCAACACTTTCGACACAATAGGGAGTAGGGCAATCGGCCTGTAGCTGCCAGGGCTTTTTCTGTCTCCTCCCTTGAAGATGGGTGACAAGATGGCACTCTTCCATTCTTTAGGGAGTTTGCACGAGTCTATTGAGTGCTCAAAGAGGTTGCGAAGTGGTTTGGTAAGCACCTCGGCGCAGTTTTTCAGAACCACTGGTTTCAGGTTATCGCAGCCAGGGGACTTGCCCGGACGTAGCCTAGATAGCTTCTCGAACACCTTTTTCTCTGTAATAGAGACGTGACAGAGGTATTCGTTATTTGCGACCTGGTCGGTGTCATAGCGAGTCGCAAGCTTTTGCAAGCTAGTGTAAAGCAATTGATTTCTTCACGTCTGCTTCTAGGTCTTGTGGAACGGTTCCAGGTCTTTGGCGGATTTTGATGCAGTAGGTCTACGCACTTGACTGCTGTAGCTGTGGTTAGCTCGAAGAGCGGTTCGGTGTTAGTTGAATTTGTAGGGAGTGTTGCTTGTTTGCTTGCTGTTTCCTCCTAGGACTCTGGTGCAGATGGGTTCCTCAAGTGTCATGCCAGTAGACAATTGGTTGAACTGGTTGCAAAAGGGAGATGAAAAATATGTGCGGAGAAATCAAGGGAGAGAAAGCGCAGGGAAAGACAAATTGGAAAAGAAAGGGAAACAAGAAAGAGAAAAAGGATTACTAAAAAGAGACAGCACGGAAGAAGAACATTTGGCAGGTTTATGGGTAATAGGTGATAGGGAGGGCTTTTGTTAAAGTTTGAGAACGTAAAGTCAGAAGTAAGAACAATAAATAACGTGATAGGATGAATGGGAATATAGTAATTCTTTTAGTAGGAGACGGTGACTGGAGGGGACGTCTATAGGAAGGCATAAGGTTGAGCTAAGTTCCCAGTGGCAGTGGTATTGCAAAGTGTTCAATTATAGTTAGCCGTACCGAGTTAGTAGGTCGTGTCAGCCTAGTCCACATCCCACTTGGAGGAGCGCAAACCGTGCGTTGCTGCATAACTGTCTAACCTCTTCCTGTTGCTGTCAACAGACGAAGCTGCAGCAATCTCGGCAGGCAATGCTTTCCAGTGGCCGCAAACTCGCAGAGAGAAGGGATGTGAAGCCCTGCAGGCCTTTGCTCTTTGGTGGGCGATTCTCCTTGGGTTACGACGAGGATCGCCATAGTGGCCGTTCGGTAGGATTTCAATGTTCGGATGACTTGGGTTACTTAGTATTTTGTAGGCCGTCATAAAGTCACCACCTAATCTACGGTAGCTTAGGGAGTAGAGCCCTAGATCTTTCAGCCTGTCCTGATATGGTTTTTCGCCTTATTCCCACAACACCCTTTGTAGCTCGCCTTTGGACTTTCTCTGGGAGGTTCAGGTCTCTTCTCAGATATGGTGGTGCAGTGACCTTGTGTACCTCTGGGTGGGGTCGTATATAGGCCTCATACAGCTTCAAAAAGAGTTCCGGGGTCAGGGCACCCAACTGTCTGCGCATGAAGTGCAGCACTGTGTAGGCTCTGAAGGCATCTCCTGGATAATTGGAGCAAGTGTCTGGTTTGTCAGTCAGTATTAGTCCTGGGTCTTTCTACGGGGTGATGTGGGAAAGTAGTGTTCCACGGAGAGAATAGGGTACCTCCGGAGAGTCTGGGGTGCGGAAAAACATGTCTCGGCACTTGCCTAGGCCAAGTGCATGTCCATCAGTATCCATCCACTCTGCAAGTAATCTGAGGTCACTTTGCAGTGCACCTGATTCTGTTTTCGACGTCGTAGCTCTCCGCAACTTAACATCATCAGCGTGGAGTAAAATTGGGGAGCTGAGATTCGGCGGGTGGTCGTTCACAAAAAGAGGGAATAGCAGTGGACCCAGAATCGCTCCTTGTGATGCACTAGTGATGATGACCTCCAAGTCGAGCAAACTCTGTTGGCTTTTTTTCGGAATTGTCCGCCGTCTAAATGGTCCTGCAGCCAGGTGAGCACATGTTACCTGATGCCCAACCTCGATATTTTGTGAACAAGAATGGTATGCGGGACTGTGTTAGAGGCCCTAGCAAAGTCCAGGAAAATGATATGGACAGGAATTTGGAGGTTCCAGCGTGCCATCCACTTATCAACTGCGGTCAGAATGTTTGAAGCACAGGACCCACCCTTTCTGAAACCATGTTGAGCATCACTAAGTGGTCTCTCATTTCTAGGTATTCCCTGACGTTATCGTCTACCAGGGTCTTCATTACTTTTGACACCACCGGTAGAAGGGCTATGGGTCGGTAGCATTTTGGGTTTTGCCTATCTCTTCCCTTGAAGACGGGGGACAGGACTGCACTTTTCCGCTCCTGCGAAAGCATGTGACTGTCTGCGAGTGTTGAAACAGATTACGCAGCGGACATCACAATGTTACCCAAAATGGCATATCCTACCTTCTTGCAGACGACTTGAAGATAGTCTGCAGCTTTTCTCTTGTAGCACTAGCACAAGGTTTCTCTCAAATACAAGAAGATTTGAAGAGAAGACTCACAATAAACCCCACCCAGAAGCAACACTACACTTGGGTGACATCGCACTGCAGATATACAACACTGTGAAAGACCTCGGAATCGCTTACTCCAGAAGTTTGACTTTTACAGAGTATGCAGATTCAATAGTTCCCAAAGGTAGAAGACTCATCGGTCTTCTACACAGAAACATACTCACACCTGAAGCAAAACTTATACTGCACAAGGTTTTGGTTTGCCCAGTGTTAGAGTACTGCAATGTTATCGACGGTAACATGAAAGTATCGAACAGAATTCGAGGAGAGGGCATTCAGCGAAACTTTACTTGGCGCCTACTAACACAAAACGAAGGACTTGCACGCGAAGCAAGATGCAAAACGCTAGAACTAGAATCACTCTGGCTGAGATGCTTGAAGCACAACCTAACATTTCTTTATCGCCTTTTATTTGGAAGCTCTAAAGCGAAATGTGTTATCACTTTTAAATCAACACAGGCATATAATCTGCGTAATAGCGAGTGCACCATCCCAATAAATAAGTATCGCTCAAAACTTAGATGTAGGTTTTTCATAGCTCAATACAGTATGCTGTGGAACAAACTTCCCACTCCTAGACGAGCATGTCGATCTCTCTCCCAGTTTTAACGATTACTTAGTGAATTCCTTCTGTCTAACGATTCTCGTC